ATTTTGGATACTTCCATAACTGGGATGTTTCCTAGGTTATATCATCTTGTTTATAAATGGTCAGGTGTTGTTTGCTATTCTCAGTTCTTTGTCCAAAGAACTCACTTTAGTATCTCTTGTAAGTTTGGTCTGGTTTTAACAAATTCCCTTAATTTTTGCTTATCTGGAAATCTCCTAATTTCAACATCCTACTTGTGGGACAATTTTGTTGGATATATAATTGTTGGTTGGAAACTTTTCTCTTTCAATGTTTTATGTATACCATCCCATTGCCTTCTGGCCAGCATAGTTTCTGCTGAAAAACCAGAGCTTAGTCTTATTGGTTGTCCTTTGTAGGTAACTTTTCATTTTTCCTGTGCTGCTTTCAGTATTCTTGCTTTGTCTGTGGTTTTGGTGAGTTTGATGATGATATGTCTTGAAGATTTTCTTTTGGGTTCAATCCTGTTTGGGGTTCGTTGGACTTCCTGAATGGATCTATTATCATCTTTTGTCATATCAGGGAAGTTCTCTTCTTACAAATCTTTGACAATTCATTCTCTGTGGTTTTATTTTTCTCTTTCCTCTGGAATTCCAGTTACAAGTAGGTTATTCTTTTTGATAGTATTCCACATGAATCTCATGCTTTCTTCATTTTGTTTTGATAATTTTTTTTTGATTGATCCCTTTCAAAAAAAGTATTCAAGTATTTGTCTTCAATCTCATTAATTCTGTCTTCCATTGATTCTATTCTACTCCTTTGCCCTTTCAATGTGTTATCTATTTCTGAAAATTTCATATAAATCTTCTGGATTTCTATCTGTAGATTTTGTATCATTTCTAATTTTTAATTTATTTTGTCATTTTGTTCTTGTATTGTCTTTCTAAAATTTTCTAGGCTTTTATCTGTGTTTTCCTTAATTTTGTCAGTGTTTTCCTTGATCTTTCTTTCAGTCCTTTGAAGGTACCTAAATATAATTCTTTGAATTCCTTACTAGGGAGTTCGAATGTTACTTCTTCCTTAGGGATATGTTCTGGCTCTGTATCCTGGTCCCCTGTTTCTCCTGCTTTCTCTTGCTTCTTTGTGTGGGCTGTGATGGTCTATTGTGTCCAAGACACTGTGATGTTGTTGTAGTGATATTTAATTGGTCATTGTATGTTGGAATGATTCACCCAAGATTTTCATTTCTTTGTTTTGTTTGGATGTATCTGAGTAAGCAGGGTACTGTGCTCCTCTATTCATTATTTGGCAACACTTGTGCACTCATCACCTGTCTCCTGGTTGGTGTGAGAGTGGCTGCACAGATCTCTGTTAACTGTGAGGAGCAGTTAAGTGTGAGTCAGGCTAGTATTGGTGGTATTATTGACCAGTTGGTGCAGAAGTCACTGTTACTCAGTAAGTGGAGCTGCAGCAGGTGTGGGTGTGGTTGGGTCATATGGGCATGGTTGTTGTCTCCCACTCAGTTAGACAAAAACAACAATTGAAAAACCACCAAAAAAAAGTAAACCCAAGAGGACAAAAAACTTACTTCAGTGCAGATTGAACTTCTTCCTTCAATATCATTGGTTCGTGATCATATGCTATCTCCTGAAATGGTTGATGTCAAAAAATTCTTTTTGGTGTAGTGAGTCTGTGTATTCCTTCCATCTTCTTTGATGCTTCCTGAATTGTTCAATATTTTGTCCATAGAATCCTTCAGTATTGCAACTTAAACTTGAATTTTTTCTTCAGTTCTTTCAGCTTGAGAAATATTGAGGGTGTTTTTCCCTTCTGGTTTTCTAACTTCAGATCTTTGCACATTTCACTAAAATATTTACTTTGTCTTCTCAAGCTGCCTTTGAAATCTTCTGTTCAGCTTTTATTTCAACATTTCTTCCATGCACTTTAGCTACTCTCCATTCAAGACCAAGCTTCAGAGTTTCTTCAGACATCCATTTTGGTCTTTTCTTTCTTTCTTGGTTTTTTTTTTTTTTTTTAATGACCTTTTGCTTTCTTCATGTGTAATGTTCTTGATGTCATCCCACAACTTATCTGGTCTTTGGTCATTGGTGTTCAATGCTTCTAATCTACCCTTCAGATGGTCTCCAAATTCAGGTGGGATATACTCAAGGTGGTGTTCTGGCTCATGTGGACTTGTTCTAATTTTCTTCAGCTTCAGCTTGAACTTGCATAGGAGCAATTAATTGCCTTGTTCTGATTGATAACATTGAGCTTCTCCATCATCTCTTTCCACAGATGTAGTCAATTTGATTCTTGTGTATTCCATTTGGCAAAATCCATGTGTATAGTCACTGTTTATGTTGTTGAAAAAAAGTATTTGCAATGAATAAGTCATTGGCCTTATAAAATTCTATCATGCTTGAAAAGGAAGACATTCAGAAGGATTCAGAACAACCTATACAAGGCACCTATCTTAGGAAGGACCAGTCTGCAGTCAGTGGATATTTCAGACAAAGGATATCTTTCTTCCTTGGTTCCACTGGTTGGTGGTTTTATCACTCTCTACCAGTCTGCATTCTCAGTGACATTCCATTTTCTTTCATATTAGGCTCTTTCTCAATGATTATGGTATAATTAGATAGAGCTAGAATCCTTTTATTTCATCACATTTGCTATGCAGGCCTTATCTATTGACATGGGCAAGGACATAATGGTCAGATCTGTATTTCTAGTGGCAAAGAGATGGGATATCCTGTTCCACAAAGGTGTTCTCCAATACTTCATGGCCATTATGTATCCAGAATCCACATGATCAAAGAATGTATCCCAAGGATTAATAACTTATAAAAGGGGATGAAGTCCTCATGTGTAGATACATTTTCATCTCTTAACACTGACCCCAATGCTAAGTATTAGAAGTACATCATTAGGGTTATGGGAGTGGGAGATGGGCTCAAACAGGTCATGAGTAAAATCATAATGTGGAGAAGATTCAGGCATATATTCTTTTTTGCCTATGAAATGATTCCCTTAGCACTATACACACACACACCTCCCACATGTTGTTGTTGTTGTTGTCAGGTACTGCTGAGTCGATTCTGACTCATAGTGACCCTATGTACAACAGAACGAAATATTGCCTGCTCCTGCACCATCCTCACAATCCTTGCTGTGCTTGAGCCCACTGTTGCAGCCACTGTGTCAATACATTTCATTGAGGGTTTTCCTCTTTTTCACTGACCCTTTACTTTACCAAGCATGATATCTTCTTGAGGGATTGGTCCCTTCTGACAATATGACCAAAGTGTGTGACATGAGGTCTGGCCTTTCTTGCTTCTAAGGAGCATTCCAGGCACACTTCTTCCAGGACAGGTTTGTTAATTCTTCTGGCAGTCCATGGTATTTTCAGTATTCTTCATTAATACCACAATTCAAAGGCATAGATTTTAAAAATGTGTAGGTAAAAAGAACTTGAAGCCTTAATTATAACATTACACCGTTGGATTAAGAACTCTAAAACCACCTCTTCCACCTCCAGAGTCAGTGTTTTTCTTAAAATTATTAACTGAAACAGTCTCTATAAATTTTCTGAATTTACACATCTTTGATTTATATCTGAGAAAGCTTATTACCTTTTCTCATTACACTAGTAAGCCAAATTGCCATCTGCCTTCTCTGATATATTTCACAAACCAAGATGACAGTTGCCCCTGTATTAGTTAGAACCGTTGTTCTCAACCAGAGGAGATTTTGCTCCTCTGAGGACATTGGACCATGTTTGGATTCATTATTTTTCACTACTGGATCCTACTGGCATCTAGTGGGTAGAGGCCAAGGATATTGCTAATCTTCCATAATACACAAGAGAGCCTCCTACAACAAAGAAATATTCCTTATTTATTTCAGAAAGCCCCTGATGTCAATAGTGCCATGGTTGAGAAACCTTGAATTAGAGTACAAGTTAAATGTTGTAACAAAAAGACCCCAAAATATAGTGGCTTAAACAAGATAGAAATGTATTTCTTTTGATCTGGGCCACCAATAGATATACTGCAAAGATAATAATATTAACATTTTGACAGATGAGAAAGGGAAGGAGAGAAATTACAGGACAATTTCATTTTTCAAGGAGTTAAATAGGAAGTTGCACAAATCATTCATCTCACATATCACTAGAATTAGTGACATGCCAAACCTAATTGCAAAAAGGCTTGGAAATGTAATTTCTAGCTTGGTAGCCATATGCTCAGCTAAGATTTATGGCTTATGTTACCAAAAACAAAAGTTCTTAAAGAAAGATAATGGAAAAATCATAATTTGTTTAATATTTGATTTAGCATTCCCACAAAATAGTATCTCTTGAATTTATCCCAACTATCATTGCACATTGGCTAATGATGTCTATTCCCACATAGAAACCAAGAGTTGCAGATACCATATCTGTCACAAGATCTTCTTTCATTTAAGAGAGAGTTACAAAACTTCAGCCATGAGAAAATGCGTAGTATTTCCACAGTGGCACTTAAGAGTTCAGACAAGTTTACTCCCATCCTGAAATACCATACCACATCTCAAGTTTTAGTTTTATGACTTAAGGAATTAGTGAGAAAGGCTATGTGGCCACAGAACTGAAAGAAAGAATTCATATCCTGATGTCTTTTACATCAAATTGCTTTTCAGCCATTGAATCCTTGGATCTCTGTCCTTAATGACAGGGGCTGGAATGTGGTTCTTAAAGGAGCAAAATTTGGAGAAAATTTTCTGGATAAAAGCTCATCCATTAATATATTAGCACTATCATTTTGAGAATGACACTAATATAATAGTAATGCACTTTATTTAACATCTATAACTCAGTTAATATATTAACATTGAATAGTTATAATTCTAATGCTGAGTTTCCAGGCCCATTATACTGCTAATGGCTAAAACAAGGCCATTGTCCAAATCATTTATGGAACTTCTATAATGGACTGTATTTATGGGAAATATTATAAGTCCTAATGGGAGTTAAAGAGCTATTATCTAGTTGAAAGAAGACCTTTCACAGCTCTTTAATGAACACCAAAGAAAGCGAACTCACCATTCTTCTTGTAGAACATAATTTCTCCTTTGAATTCTGTTTTTTCCTCCAGTGACTTTTCTATTTGAAGCATCAGTGGCTCATTGGTTTCAACTCCAAATAAGAACTTGCAACTGCAGCTCTTCTGCATGACCTCAGTTCGGGCAAATCCAGCAAGCTCACAGAAGCCATCCGAACAGTAGACTATGGGAAAACCCTTAGCCACCTGGGCATTGGCGAGGATGAAGTTACTGTCTATGGAACAAGAGGAGAAGACATTCAACAACCAAACAAGAGTGAGAAACTCTTTTTTAATTGCAATTTCAGCAATAAATTATGAACACATGCATTTAGACAACAGTGCCCAAAATGCATGTTCTGGTGTGCTGTGTTGAAAAGGAGACATTCCAAATCATAAAATGTCATTGATTAGCAGGATGTATTAAGCCTATTGTCATCTTGAATTTTTGTAACAGATTGTAGAGGAAATATTCACTGGCCAGACTTTGAAGCCCTTAGCATCTAATGGGCATGGTGTTTATGAGCATGGATTCTGGTTCATATTGTGAATCTGCCATTTAATGTACAGGTGAACTTCTACAAATTACTAAATCATTCTAATAACTCTTTTTGTTTGTTTTGTTTTGGTTGCCTGAAAAGCAAGCAATGAGACATACAAGAAAAGGCTATATAGAAGCACTCTACTGACAGAAGAAACAACTGGGGTGTTTATCTACCTATGTTCATACCTAATTGCTTAAGGGTCACTACTATCACTTCTGTCCTACCCACCTGACCTGACACACTGTGTTGGAAGTGACTGGTAGATAAGAAAATGGCCCATACATGATCTCAAATGTCGGTCAAAGTGATATTGACAGGGCACCAATAGTATACTACAAAGATAATAATATCACTTTATAGGTGTGTTGTAGAGATTAATGAAATGATGCACATGAAGTGCTTAGCAAAGTGTATGACATGAGTAAGTACTCAGTAAAAAATCAACATTGAATATCATTCACATCTTCATGGTTATTATATTAACAAACAAGAATCAGAGGACAGTCAACAATAATATAATAGTTAAGTGCTTAGAGATAATCCCAGAAGAAACCAGTTGCCAATATTCAGGAAAGCTTCCTGCAGCAAGAATATTTAGAGATGAGTTTTGAAGGGTAGATATGATGTGTATAGACAAAAAGATGCATGTTGGAGATGAGATGAAGATAAGACATTTAAAAAACCTGTTAGGTTCAGAATGTATTTGAGATTATTATAAAATCATTCATACATATACTCATGAAACAAATATTGAACACTGTCAGTATGCCAGACAGTGCTAAGATTGGGATTTTGATGAAAATAAAACTACAAGGTAAGTTGTTAATGAAGCTGTGAATGAGGGGGGAAAAAAAAAAGAAAGAAGAAGGAACACAATTCAGTATAGTATATATTATATGAAATATTTTTCTGAAAAAAATTACATAAATTCATATAAACAGATATATGTATACCCAAATATGAAATGTTTATATATGCCTAAAACAAATGGAGTAATTGTTAACTGTGGTTATTTCTAATGAGCTCTCCTGACATAGTGGGTAAGGCATTTGTCTCCTAACCAGGTTAGTGGTTGAAACCTACCAGCTGCTCCACGGGAGGAAGATGAGACAATCTACTTCTGTAAAGATTTTTAGTCTTGAAAACCCAATAGGGGTTGCTATCAGCTGGAATCAACTGGATGGCAGTGGGTTTTTGAGTGGGTTTTTGGTTTTTGTTTTGGTGATTATTTCTAGAGAGAATCACTATCACCAGAGATGGGAGGAACAGGTATTTTTACCATATACCCTGTTATACCATTTGATTTTGTACCACCTGATTTATGTATTTCCTATTCCTAAGTATGAGAGCTCTGGTAACATAATGCCTAAGGCACCTGACTGCTAACCAGAAGGCTGGCGGTTCAAACCCACCAGCCACTCCTCAGAAGGAAGGTTGGGCATTCCTATTTCTGTAGTGATACTGCCTCGGAAACCCAAGGAAGGGTCACCATGAGTCGGGGCCTACCTGATGGCAAATAACAACAACATTCCTAAGTATAAAAATAAAAACAACTCACTGCTATTGAGTCGATTCCAACTCATAGAGATTTCCATTGAGTTTCTAAGACTATAAATCTTTATGGAAGTAGATTGCCTCATCTTTCTTTCTTCTTTTTTTTAATTGTGTTTTAAGTGCAAGTTTACAGAGCAGAGTTTGTTTTACATTCAACATTAGTGAACATTTAGTTTCACTCCCCATTTACCATCCTCAAACCCTAACCCAGTCTCCTTCCCTCCCTGCCCAGTAACCCCCCTCTCCCCGTGACCCTCATAGTTATACACTCCTGTGTGTCCCTCATTTTCTCTTATGCATGTTGCCCCTCTGGTACTTTGTGGTCAATTGCTCCAAAGGATGCATTTCCATAGAGTATGTGGGTGCACCACCCTGGGTTGAGTGGTCTGCATGTACATCTTGTTTATTATTGGGTTAAGAGTCAGCCCCTGGGAGTGAGTTTTATTCCAGGCCCAAAATGTATGCCAGGACCATAGTATTGGGGGTCTCACCAGACTCCATCCGACCAGTAATTCTGGTCATTATTGAGTTTCTGGATTTTATTCCACGTTTTTCCTCCCACTCTATCCAGGATCTCCAGTTTTGCTCCTTTCCTGAATGGTTGGCATTGGTACCTGGGCACCATCTATCTTTGAAAGGACAGTAAGTTTAAAGGAGGTCTGCAGCTGAAAGTCTATCTTGCATCCCATGAGAAAGAAGGGACTCCAGCCACTTCCTGATGCCTGTATCAGGACAAATGCTGAAGATCTATTTCATGGGCTTCCTCATCTCATTTAAACTTCTGGTACCTGTTTCCAAACATAGTCCACCATCAGATGGCAAAATCGTATCTACTTTACTCAGTTATGCTCCAATCAGCCCCTAACCTCAAAATACTAATTCAAGTACTTACATCTGCATCCTGCATGGGTAAAAAGGCTCTTGTACCCTCCCAGCTGGCCTCTATCTGTGGAGGGAAGCTAGAGCTAAAGACCCACACTGGGAGACTTTCAAGGGTACATTGTCTTGAAGTCATGGGAGTAAATGAGATCACCCCAGATGAGTAATTATCTTACTTGCACCTTGCAGTTAATAACTGTATACTATATGTTGGACTCTGTCCCAGGTGGAGATGGGGGTGTTAAAATTGTTTATTAGATGTGGTTCCTACCTGTAAAGATCACACATTCATGAACTTGTGGGAGTTCCCAGCTAGATTCAGAGGGGGCCACCATCCACTTGGTAGTGGGGCCATGGTCTTAGGGTCAAGAACTCTGCATAGCTTTGTGTCACTCTCTAACCATGGTGTTTGTGCCTCCCTCCATTTAAAAATTTTAGAACAGAAAACATTTAGAGAATGTAAATGCATAGCATTGGCAAAGTAGTCAAATACCTTGAATGAGCTCTTAATGCTCCTTCAGAAGCCATTTTGTCAGTAGACCATTGACTTTCTACTATATGTTAGGGGACATGGTTTCACCATATGGCAGGTCCTACAGTGATGTGATGGGGTATTTAAAGTTGAACAAAATGTGGTCTCTAGCTCTAAGGTATTACAGCTTAATTAAATGAATGATGAATAGCAATAACACTAAAACACAGCAGGTGATAAGCACTAATGGAGTGGCACCCAGATAACAAGTAATACCAGAGTTCTGAGAGTAAAGATCCTAAGTTTTAAACATAGTTAGAAAGGAATAAGACAAAATTACATGGTGATGACTTATCAAAAGTCCTATAAGTTTAGGAGAAGATACCTGGATAAAGTAGGTTCGTAGAAAGAATGGGGTGACAGGAATTAGAGACAGAAAGGATACAGCCCATTGCATTTTGTCCTGAAGTCCAGTTTACCCATTGTTTATTTAGCCCCAATAGTTTTCTTTTGTAAGTATTTGTATGAACTTTTCCCCTTCTTTCTACTTTCAATCTTTTGGGGACTTGTCCCTTTTTTTCTAAAAGAAACCCATAGTTTGAATTTTGTTGTAATAAACACTCCAATTTATATAGATTGTGTCACCTATGTATGTATCCTCATGTAATATACTGCCTACTTTTTCTGATTTTTAAAGTTATTTAGTATGGGTATTTCCTTCTTCATATTCCTTAGTGACTGCTTCTTTCATTAATTTCCTTAGCACCTTTATAATCATTGATGTTTGGAAGAAAAGACCAGTCCTTCAGAGCTACAATACACTTCTGCAAAGAGCTACAGAAGGATTCACCAAGTTGCCTGATCTTCATTTCAATTAAGAAATATAGTGTTTTTGACACTGCATAATGTGGATGAACTTGGAGGACATTATGCTGAGCAAAATAAGTCAGTCACAAAAGGACAAATATTGTATTAGTCCGTTATTGTAAAAGTTAAGGAAAGGTTTATATATTGGAGGACATTTTCTTTGTTGGTTACCAGGGGTGGGAGGGAAAGGGAGGGAATGCTGTTAGATAGATAGAGATAAATATTGATTTGGGTGAAGAGAAGGGCAATGTACCAAATGTGAGTGACCAATATGGCAGCATTGAGGATGAGAAAGACAGAGAGAGTTACATGGGCAGTACAAACAACAAATATGAACCCCTTTGCATATACAATACCGAGTTGTCAGTGAAAGCAAACATGGGTATAGGGACAGATAGATGGTTGAACAAGCTAAACAATTAGGTATGTCTAAATGGAGAGTGTATCCAAGATCACATACAGGGTTGGCAGACAATGGGCCTATAAGTTCATGTGAATGATCAGAATTCCCAGGTGTATAGTAGAGCTGACAAGGGGCAAGGTTATGGTCATTACTTGGTCACAGCCAGCTACCCAGAGGGACTGAGTAGTTGATCCTGCGGGCTTGGGACCATAGTTGCAGGGGACATCAAACTCAATTGGCATAACATACTATACAAAACATTGTTCCACCTACTACTTTGGCGAGTAGCGACTGGGACCTTAAAAGCTAGGAAGCTGCCATCTAGATGCAACAACGGGTCTCTCCTTATCAAGAAGAAAGAAGAAAACCAAAATTAATGGAAACAATCAGTCCTAGCGACTGGTACACCATCTGATCTGCAACCTATACAACTATGAGACCAGAAGAACTAGATGGTGCCCAGCTACCACTGCCATCCACTTGGAAGGGATGTAGGAGATCCTGCATAAAGAGGGA